CCTCAACCAACTATGCTACTGCGTGCCCGTCAATAAGTGAAGAATGAATGAACTTTGCAGCTGACACAGAATTTTTCGTAGAAAGTTCGGGTGGAAACTGTTCACTTGTAATGAAATTTACTCAGAAAGATATAATTTTTTTATTCATTTCTTCCTTTCTTCCTTTTTTCCTTCCTTCACATGCAAACCTGGACATTCAGTTACTGGTTAATAACTGGCCAAATAGATTTCAATTGTTAACATGAACAGAGGTCCTTCTCTGCCCCACTTCTTCACAGACCGGTTGTAGGGCCTTCGAAACGTGTATCTAAAGACAACCGACGGATGTTTACTCGAGGTGAGGGCAGAAAGTGACTGGCCACTCACTTCCTTCTGTACTTTGTTCCGAATGTCTGCGGATTACACGTAAACAAAACATTGGCGACAGATGACAGCATGTTCACTTCTTTTTCGCTTACGGGCCGGGGTACACGGGCGCGGTACACACGATGCGTCTCTTCATTACTACATCAGTATGTTGAGGCACACTGGAGATTTTGGAATACTCGATGCCTTGTGAACTGCGCTTGTAACTAGCCCTGCCTTCTCCCCCCCCCCGTCTTTTTTATGTTCTCCGTAGACATTCGAAATGAAATATAGTGTTAAAGTCTAGATTCTAAAGTCTAGGATTTGAGCTTTTCACGGCGGTGATTATGAAGATTACCGTCATTTACGATATAACGACATGTGTCCTTTGAAAGTCAACTGACGTTTCGGAGTAATATATCGCCTCCATCTTCAGGGTCTAAAAATAACCCGAGAAAGTAACAAGCGTGAAAGCAAACGCTGCTTGCCACCTGCTTTGACGCTTGTTTCTTGCGCGAATTGTTCTTCGACCATGAAGATGGAGGCGATATATTACTCCGAAACGTCTATTAAGTTCCAACGGACTACACGGCGTTATATCCCAGGATACAGTTCTCTTTATTTATGTATGTTGTTTTCTATTATTACTCGTTTTAACATGAGCAAAACCCTTGTATTGTAGGCAGTTCTTAAATTTTCCACATTAATAAACTGAAATATACGCGCCAGCCGCCCTTTACCTCCAAATATATTCCAAGAATATTCCTGGTACTCATTTCTGTTAGAGGATGAGTCGACCCCAGGGCCATAGTGCGGCTGGAATGATTAGTTCAATTGAAAAAATCCACCTCATCGGAACTTGAACCGGCGACCTTCCGGCTTGTAGCATAGTGCCCCAACTAATTACGCTACCGCGTGCCCCCGTTAATACTTAGTAGACATGAAACTTTTGTTTCCAGGTAAAAGTAAACGTAAAAAGTAAAGCTGTTACTATGATTAATGAAACTTCGCAAAATGAAGTCACGTGACTCCACATTCCTAACCTCTGCACTGGATGGAGGTGAATGGTCAACTTCATGCTACGGGGAGTTTATTCCCGCTGGAAAGGCCCCCGTACCGATTGAATGGAAGGCTTGGTGGTCACAGAATTTGTCTGGAATTGGTGGTGAAGAGAACAGTTCTTGTCCCTGAAGAGAATCATGTGCAGACTGTCCGGTACATGACCTCACAGTACATCCAGTTACAGAAGTTTCGGAAATTTCTATAGAATCGTGAAGAAGGCACATAATTTATCAAAGCCATTAGTCTATTTAATAGGTAAGTATATACAGTTTAGCACACAAAACAATTTAATTATAAATTCTGTATTTCAGCATCTCGTTGCACATCTTTAATTAAGCGTCTATGTAGCAAGACCGTCAATAATGCAACAACCATTAAAATGAAGAAAGCAGTCTTCTGGGATTTGGCACCGTGTATATGTGGTGTTAACCGACGTTTCGGAGGAACGTATCGCCTCGCAGACTGCTTTTACCGGTTCTCACGGTCTCTTCGCTTGCGGATTTCTTATATTTTTTTCCTTCTACCCTGAAGATGGAGGCGATACGTTCCTCCGAAACGTCGGTTAACACCACATATACACGGTGCCAAATCCCAGAAGACTGCTTTCTTCATAGTCACCGCCGTGAAAGCCTCAAATCTTACAACCATTAAAATATTCACCATTTAACACTAACACAACATATTTCGGCCACGGATGGCCATATTGGGGTGTTTCAATGCGTCAAAACTGCTACTGATTATTGTGTAACGAAGGTACGTGAACACGAGTCTCTGATATTACTTAACGAAAGCTGAGACAGCCTACATTCGGACGTTCAGTCAAGCTACTGAAAGAACATGTAGTGACGAAGCAGCTTATTTTGAATATGTCATGATTAAGCTTATATACTCGTACAACATTGATTATTGTGTAGCGACGATATAGTAAAGTGAGTCTATGATACTAGTTAACGAGAGTAGATAGTTAGTTAATTAGTTATTTGGAGAGGGTGGGTTTCCCCATGCACTTAGACCTGTATTGGTCCATTGTGCTTCCCTCTATGATATTCTACCAGTCTCTATATCCTACCGGTACTGGTGCTTACCATCAGTCCCGCCCAGCCAGCGAGACCGGTTCGACTAGCTGAGAGGTATCTATAATGCTTCCCCCATCTACCAGAAGTATTAGAGACTGCTGTTGGGCGGGAAACGTCCGTAATTTGGCTCAGTGACCTCCTTAGGAGATATGAGGTTCTTTTACGTGCCGTAAAGCTACGACACGGGACCCACGGCTTAAAGTCCCTCCCGGAGGACTTGTTCCCTGAATTTTTCCGCCCTTAAAAATTCGACGATCTCCGCCGGGTATTTGAACGCGCGTACTACGAGTCATGAGGTGGGAACGTTACCTCTAGACTAAGGAGGCCGCTAACGAGAGTAGATAAGTGTCTTCATTCAGAAAATAAATAGAGCTAACACATAAACTTACGTTACCAGCTTTACTCACATCTGTGAAAAGTAAACTGCACAGGCATTACAGCGTTCTGGGAACCAGATTTATGACGTGCAGTGACGTTATAATGTGCAGTAAGATATTAAAAGAAGCTAATGCATGAAGGCTTTATTACCAAATTTATTCATAACTGCGAATGATCCAGAGTGTAGTAAGAATTTTATCCGCTAGAGTGCACTGTAATACACAGAAGAACTGATGCTCGTGTACTGATGCTACTAAGTCGCCAGCACTGTTGGCTAACAGAAATGGTGAAGCTCGATACACTTCATGGATACAAAAATAAATTTTAGAAATAAACTGAACGTCTGTGTATCAAGTCCGTCAATAATGCAACAACCATTAAAATATTCACCATTTAACACTAACACAACATGTTTCGGCCACAGATGGCCATCCTCATGTGTTTCAGTGCGTCCAAAATGCTACATTACTTTGATGTGCGCTAAAATTGCGCGGTGCAGTCCACTTAAAATAAGTGTATTAGTGTTACATACAACGTCGGTTAATTAACGACTATCTGTTTGGAACGGGCTCGGTCATCATGCGTTACTTATTTACAAAGCTATCCCTGTAACAGCCGTGGAGACCCAAAGGGTTGTGAGACGTCGAGGTTCCCAAATTTTCTAGATGATCGGCTTACAGATGGCAGTGAAGTTGTCAGCCTTACGCGCTGACCTTCCTTTGCGATCCCGTAAGATTCCTGGTGCTCATTTCTGTTAGAGGATGAGTCCACTCCAGGGCCATAGTGGGGCTGGAAAGATTAGATCAACTGAAAAACAAAATGACCTCGTCGGGAATCGAACCCGTTACATTCCGGCTGTAGCATAGTGCCTCAATATGTGTGTATGTCAGAGAGAGACACACGCCTTCTGCTCAACCTTCGCACACAGCTGACGTGATCATATAAAATACTTTTCTTTTGCAATATGCTTCGACCTTTCGGCAAACTTCAAATTATACCGCAATCATTCTTTGCGAAATATCGGACGTTTCTATATATTGGCCAACATCTCAGAGCTTATCCACAACATATACATAACACTAAAATTTCATCATCATCATCCTCGTAATTATTGGCACAAGAGCGCTTTTCGAACCATAACCTCCCTTAGAAAATTCTACCAAATATGTCATACGGTTTTAACTTCTTTGGATTTCGCAATAATATTTTCTTTTTTACAGAGCAAGGTTGTCAGTCTTGAGTCCAGCCTCCAAACTAGAAGACCAGGTCTCTGCATTTATGTCCCCCAGGAAGAGGGTGACCCAGTTATAAGCCCAGACACTGGGTTTCCTTTTCCTAGCCTGAAGTCTACGATTCGCAAGGCTACGGTTGAAGCATTCTAACCCGCGTCCCCACAAAAAAATTAAAATTTACTGTGATCAAATTTCTATATGAAATGTAATGTGGCTGAACCTATTGCATGTTGTACTATCTCGAGTTCGCTGTTACAATTTCTTTTATGAAAATTTGTCATTAAACTTATTTTAGTATACAGTTTGAAGTCAATATTATTACGGTAAAGGCGCTGTGCAGTCCATTGCAGAATGTTGCACTGCGCTCACTTCACTAACGTTCTGATGTAAGTAAGCGGGCTTTCTTTAAATAGGTTTTTCCTGATGTTTTTTCAGTGTGCATGGTTGTCCGTTGATTGTCATTGTTATTGGATACGTGATTTGCAATTAATTCTGCAACATCTGCTAAAGTATTCTATCTCAAATTCATTCAGTTTTTGATAGAAGTATATAAAAATCAAATCTTAGGCTGGGGCCACACAAGCCCACGAATTACGTCCGTTGCAACGAACGTACTTTATGACGGACGTTGCTGAGGACACCACACAGTTGCAGAATGCGGTGCGTAGTTTTTTGTCTGCAATGGAGTCAGAAGAAAGCGCAGCATTCGCCTCTCTTGTCTGTTTCTACAACAGACGCGTTTTGTGCGCTCGTGTTGCCCCAGCCTTAATGTTAAGGTTAGTTTAAATTAAAATATTAGTATATTATTAATATTGCCATGTGTATGTGTGTTTGTGTGTGTGTGACTATGCCACTTCTACACCAGAATGTCACTATTTAGGAGTGTCTGTAGACGGAGTTTGGATTGATGGATATATTTATTTACCTTTTACAGGTCATTACTACATATATCTTTAATAATATCGCTGATCTTCACAATTTACAAATCACTTGCACACGCTAAGTCTTCTCAGTCTTCACTAGCCGTAGCCTGGCAACGGATTTTAACACAGTAATCATAAGAGTCTCAATGTAACTACAGCACACATAAAATCTCCTCTTCAGATCCGGACTTTCAAATCTCTCTCTCTCAACTAACAACTAAATGGGTCATCCAAACTGTCTTCCTTATAACCACTTTACACGGATCGAGTATAAAACACCGTTTCAAACAGTAAATTTATTGTTGTGTGCGTATTCGTTGCCGCGGGAACGTCTTTATCGATCCGTTGCCCGTAAACGGTTTGCTTAACATTGTTGTTTATCTGCCTATTGCATAACAACGGCTGTACACGCTACATTTGTCATGTTATTTATTTCAAGGTCTTTGCCTAGCAACGGATCTATACGTCACAATGTATAATTACTACGTGTGGCTTGAATAAAATGTATGTACAACATTCATTGTTGTACAAAGACGGTGAAACATAGGGCCAGTGAATGTGTGATAAGAACAGTGCAACATGACACTAAAATAGCCGTTTATCTCTTTATCTAATTAACCCTGTCTACTAAAGTCCTTCTTCAGAAGCTTGTAGTCGTTCAGCTGGCTAAATATCTCACATTGCATGTAACGCGAATGCTCATTACTGCGTTAAGAAAAATCTGGTATAGACAACATCTCGTGTCAGTTGAAATTACTTAACAGGCTCACGTCCTGTTTCTGTTTTATTAATTTCGTACAATTATCCAGAACTCTGTCCCGCCATGTCTGTCTTCAGTTTTATCAGTATCCAACGTATGAGAAGAAGAGGAGACCTGCAAAAAATTAAATTGAGAAATATGAATATACGGTCGCGCTAAGTGAGACGGGTTTATCATACAGAGACTGATAAACGTTCATATTTCTCTAACTGGCTAAGTAACTAACTAGCCAAATCAATGGAACATAGTCATTCTTGAGAAGCTAATAGTAGCTCAGCTACTATGGAAATGAACCGCTTTTCATGGATCCCGAATGTTCATGACCGTGTTGACAAGAGACCGTCCTTGTCCCTATGTCGAACTTATTAAATAACTTACACTGTAAAGTAGAAATGAGTACCAGGAATTAATTAAATAATTTTCTTGGGGACAAAAGCTCGGCCGGCGCGTAGGGCTTACAACCTTACCGCCATCTGTGAGCCGATTGTCTACACAATGTGGGACCCTCAACGTCTCACAACCCTATGGGCCTTCACGGCCTGTTACAGGGATAGCTTTACTTTTTTACTTTTACTTTTACACTGTAGAGTAAATACAAACGTATATATCAGACGTAAAATTTACAGAATGTAAAGACATGCATATTTCTTGGGACCTGCAAGATGCTAGGAGAATAAATCCTAACATTAAAATGATTTTGAAGGAAAGGTGAGGAGGATAATAAAATGGATTTTAGAGAGATAGGATGGGGTGGTATGGACTGGATTCATCTGGCTCAGAATAGGGGCCCAGTGGAGGTTTCCTGCGAACACGGTAATGAAATTTAGGGTTCCATTAACTGCTGGGAAAAACTTAGATTACTGAGCAACTGGTCGACTTCCCAAGAAGAGCTCAGCTCCATGGAGTTAAAGGAACAGGGTCTGAGAGTGCATTCAAGTCTGCTGGATGAGGATAGGATCCAGTGTTGCCTCTCCAAGCTTCTGTTAACGCCCCGTGGAGTCTGTGTTGAAAGAAGTATCACATTATGCTCGTATGGGTTTTAACATAAATCCCAATTTCTTTAATAAATTTTAGTACGATTACCAAAGCGTGTATTTTTTCACGCTGTATATTTTATGTCCCATCGAAACGAAGTTCTGAAAATAGACTTTTATAGTATTACATCGTCATAATGCAATTTTAATATTCTTGTTTTGAAATGCTCAATTTAAAAAACATAAAAAGTTAAAGAAAATATGCAGCTATCCATGTAACAGGCCGTGGAGGCCCATAAGGTTGTGGGACGTCGAGGCTCCCATATTTTCTCTACAAAATCGCCTCAAAGATAGTGATAAGATTGTCAGCCTTACGCGCCAGCCGCCCTTTACCTCCCAGGAAGATTCCTGATACTCAATTCTGTTAGAGGCTCAGTCGACCCCAGGGCCATGATGCAGCTGGAAGGATTAGGTAAATTGAAAAATCCAGTAACCTCATCGGGAATCGAACCTGCGACCTCCCTGCTTGTAGCATAGTGCCTCAACTAACTACGCTACATAACATAAACTGAGTTTCAGAAATGAGTTTCGGCTCAAAGCGTTTTTACGAAATTGCCACTTTATGCACATGCAAAAGAATGAATTTAAATATTATTTCGTTGCAGCAAAGTACTGTTTCCTTACCCGTTAGAGCGTCTTGCTTCTGTTTGCAATGCCAGCCTACTCCGTGGTTAAAATATTGATCGATTGAGATGGTGTACTGCACCCTGCAACTCACCTTCCGACCCGTATAAAGTCAAACTGTAAGGGCAGAATGCGGGTATTTTTAATCGCTCCACAAAACAAAACCATTGCAACCAGCAAAAAATAAAAAAATTGAAACTTAAAAGTTACGGCAGCTGTAAAATGGCGCTGATAATTTATCATTTATATATACTTCAGAGAAAGGACTGTTATTCGTTCAGTAATTTTTAATATAAACTGAACTAAGATAATTAAATTGTCTGTTTAATAAGAAAGTCAGGAGCCGGGTTAGCTCAATTGGTATAGCGACAGGCTGGACGGCCAGGGTTCGATTTCCGACATGGTAAGTGATTTTTCTCTTCTCCACAGCGTCCATACTAGCTCTGCAGCCCGCCCAGCCCACACAATGGATACTGGGGGCTCTTTATTTGGAAGTAAAGCTGCCGGGGCGTGAAGCTGACTACTCACATCCATCTAGTACCGAGGTCAAGATTTGCTCTATAAAACCTGGTCTTGGTTGCATAATGAATGACAGGACGAAGAAACAGAAGAAGCGAAGAAAGACAGGACGAAAGGAAAAAAATCACTGGTCCAGTGATTGAGGCTAGCTCTTTCTAACGGACCCAACAGAATAGGTGTTTTCCTTCACCTGAGGACGGAAACAGATCCAGTTTCCGAAACGTCGTGTTTTTATTAGTTATCTTAAAAACAAGGACGATGGATAAAGTCCAAAAACCCAATATATCAGTATGTATGTATGTACTTGTGCGTCCGTTCTGTTCTCATGCAGACCATGGTATACAAAATTATAAGTATCATGAAAATAACTCAATATTCATGTTTTTGACAAATGAGTAGCCGTTCTAGGTACACCTCTTTTGTGGTTTAAGTCACATCAGCTAACCCCGCCATACTTGGCCCCAAACCCGGTTGCGACAGAAGGAGGAGGAGGAGGAGGAGGAGGAGTAATAACCTCGTAGAAGAACCAGGTGTTGGCTGGCTTCTGCTGGTAGCACCCTCTAAGTGCCCTTCTCTAGGGTTACAGATCTTACTGCCTTGCAAGAGTGGTGTGGGGTCACTAAATACTGCAGGAGTTAACCCTGGCAAAAATCTTGGTCCCCCAAGTTGGGGGTTAATGCGGTGGGCCGGCTCCCCACCCATCGCAAAAACTTACAAATGCTAAAAGACTTATGGACACAGAAAACTGACGGAAACACAGGAATAGGCCGACACCTCAAGTCGGTCGAGAACCCTAAAAGAAAAAACAACTTCTTTTTGGGTTGAGAAGAACAGAAAAATCCCTTCTATAATATAAAAAGAAGGTAAAGCTATCTCTGTGAGACCATGAAGATCCATACGGTTGTGAGACGTTGANTAGGATTGTGAGACGCCGAGGCTCCCACATTTCCTATAAAATCTGTTCACAGATGGCGGTGAGGTTGTCAGCTCTAGGCGCCTGCCGCTCTTTCCCCCGCCCCAGGAAGATTCCTGGTACTCATTTCTATTAGAGGCTGAGTCGACCCCGGGGTCATAGTGCGGATTGAGGGATTAAATCAATTGAAAAATTCAATGACTTCATAAAGAATCGAACCCGCGACTTTTCGGTTTGTAACTACGCTACTGCGTGCTCCCTCCTTTAATAATGATGATAATAATAATAATAATAATAATAATAATAACAACAAATAGCTACAGTGTATGATGTCAAATTGTAGGATGATAGATAAATAATAAATTGAAAAGGATTTGGCAGGAAGAGGTAAAATATTAGTGGAAATGTTATCCCGGCATTTGTGTGGGGACTGAAGGAAAACACAAAAATCTGAATTAAGATTAGCTCCATGTCCCAGTTGAGATTCGAACCGCGCCTCCCGACTACCAGTCAAGAACTTCACCGTTATACCAACCTGTTTGGTGTTTAGAAATCGTAAAAGCCTCTTTTTTCTAATGTTCCCTCTCCCTGTTGCTCTGCCTTGTCTGTGTGTGTGTGTGTGTGTGTGTGGTGCTGGAGGCTTGCTCCTCTTAGTGTCTGAAAGGCTCAGTGAACTGCGTACTTGATATACGTTTACATATTTACATTTACGCACTGGTCCAATAAGGTAAATATGAACACTGTCGCTTAAAAAGAAGACGTGGAAGGTTAAAAATATCAGTTATCAAAGAGTGGCCATAACATTTGATTCTGTCTATTTAATCTATCTATTTTTTTATTGCTACTGGGGTTGGACTATTATTTTTTATTGCTAGTGGGGTGGGACTAAGTCCCTTGTACTGCGGCCACTTCTGGCCTATTGTACCAGCACCAGATGATAGGTGAGGGTGATTGTGGAGGAATTGATGGAATGAAGATTGGCAGGGGAAACCGAAGTACTCGGAGAAAACCTGCCTCAGCGCCACTTTATCCACCACAAATCCCACTTGTCCAGACCCCGGGATCGAACCCCGGCCGCAGCGGTGGAAAGCCAGCGACTAACTGCTTGAGCTATGGCGCTGCTATCTATCTGTCTATCTTTGTTCCTGTTACGCTTCGTTTCACTTCAGTTTCGTGATACTAGAGAGTCGGTAGGATTCCTAGAACGGGGGATCAGCCGATCGCAAGGCCACTACCTAACACAGGAAACATCCATGCCTTGAGTGGGATTCGAACCCACTATCCCAGCGTTCGATTGGGTGAAATCTGTTCATGCCTCAGACCGTGCGGCCTTACAAACTAACGTTAATAGAAGATTCCATGGAACTGATGAGAACCATGAAATCTCATTAAGGCCATTCTCGGAAGGAGAAGTGGATTTGTGAGTAATCGCCACAACAGAAAGACCTATAGATGCACAAGTTGCTCCAGGATTCCGAAAGTGGCCACCTAGTTTTGAATTGGCTGTAAGTAACTTCACAGAGAAGCTGAGATAGACGAGAATTTCTCATCTTTTATGGAACCCACATGTACTTTACCCTGTCAACAAGGGCCCGCTACTACACCCTATTATCAGCCATGTGGATCCAATTCACACCCTGACATCTCATTCTTTCAGACCCATTTTAATATTATCTGCTCATTTGGGGGGGGGTTGTGTTATCAGAAGCTACAGGATCTCATGTGAGTGATGAATTAGGAAGGACTTTGAAGGAAGTGATCGTATCCTAATTAGAGTATTATCCTGGAATTTACTTGTAGGTAAAGCTATCTCTGTTGTAACAAGCCGTGAAGGCCCATAGGGTTGTGAGACGTCGAGGCTCCCACATTTTTTGGACAATCGGCTCAAAGATGGCATTAAGTTTGTCAGCCTTACGCGCCGTCCGCCCTTAACCCCCCTGGAAGTTTCCTGGTACTCATTTATATTAGAGACTGAGTCGACCCCAGGACCATAGTGCAGCTGGAAGGATTAGGTAAATTGAAAGAATCCACCTCATCGGGACTCGAACCCGGGACCTTCCGGCTTGTAGCATAGTGCCTCAACCAACTACGCTATTGCATGCCCAAATTTACCTGGGGGAACTGAGGTAAACCGCAAGAAACTTCGATCAAGATAACAGATCCCCCCACCGGGATTTGAACCGAGAGCCTACTTAATACTGCTAGTGTCAGTTTGCTCGGCAAAGACAAAGTGCTTTATTTCATGTGAAGATTATTATGATTATCGACGGTCGTGCCATAGCTCGGACAGCCAGTTGCCCCTTTCTCGAAGCGGAGGCTGAAATTTAATCCCAGGGTAGCCCATGTGGGATTTGTGACGGACAGGGCACTTCCTTCGGACGCAGTTATCCACTGTCGACTACGCTAACGAGACTGCTTAATCCTCAGTTAGTGACGTAGACAGCTACGTCATCATTAGAAAGTTACCATATTCTATTTTGTATCAGTCGATATCTTCATGGCATAGTGCTTAAATAATTAAGCACACGGAATTTTACCTTTACATACTTCAATATTCATAAGCCGGTGGGAAATTCAAACATATTTACGCACGATTCTTCTTCGAAAAGCTTGCTTACACAAGGTGTGACGTATCCTGGGTTCGTAGAGCAGACGAACTTTACCAAATCTTAAACCGCTCCCATAACTAAGTTGACATTTACATGCATATATAACCTTCGAGTCCCGCCAGGGGCAAGTATTTTATCTCGGTCATGTTGTCCAGATTGACTCTGGGGCCCTCTCGGTCTCGTATCCTGTAGGTAACGGGGTTCTTTCTCAGGGGTAAAGCGGCCGAGGTGTGAAGCTGACCACTCCCTTCCAATTAGTTCCGAAGTCAAGAAAACATGCATCTATAGAACCACTCCCCCATACGTCTTCATGACCAGTGAAAATGTTACCTTTGGAGCCGGGATAGCGGAGTCGGTATAGCGACTGGCTACAGATTGGACGACCGAGAGGTTGGAGTTCGAGTCCCTGTAAGGTCTAGAATTTTCTCTCCTCCACGTCGTCCATACCGGCTCTTGAGGCCCAACCAACCTCATATCCAAGGATTAAGGCGGCCGGGGCGGAAAACTCACCTCCATCTAGTGCCGAAGTCAAGAAAACATGGATCTATACAGCCACTCCCCCATACGCCTTCATGGTCAATGAAAACTTCACCTTTGGATCCGGGATAACTCAGTCGGTATAGCGACTGGCTACGGGTTGGACGACCGAGGGGTTGGAGTTCGAGTCCCTGTAAGGTCTAGAATTTTCTCTCCTCCATGTCGTCCATACCTGCTCTTGGGGCCCAACCAGCCTCCTATCCAATGGTACCGCGAATTGTTTTCACGGATTAAGGCGGCCGGGGCAGACCACTCACCTGCATCTAGTGCAGGATCTATATACTCGCTCCACTACACATCTTCACATGGCGTAGTGTCTAATGAATTAACAGCAGGGACAACTTTACCCTTTTACATAAACATCTACAGCTTTGTAGGATTTTAGGTTTTCGCAGTAATGGTTATGAAGAGTACTATCTTCTGGGATATAATGTCCTGCAGTCCGTTGAAATCCAACCGACGTTTCGGTGGAAAATGCTTGGTATCTTGCTTGGCTTACAGAGGCGACATATTCCTCCGAAAGGTCAGTTGACTTTTAGCGGACTACAAGGCGTTATATCCCACAAGATAGGAATATTCATTCATTCCTCTGGCGGAATTTGAAGCAGAGACCGAATGCTTTGCACTTCTCAGAAGCCATGCGCCACAGCTGTAATGCTACACACGCCCTTCTTCTTCTAAAGAATGCATCGCCCACCCTGAACACATTAGTTCGGACTTTACGAGTTTAGAGTTATCTTTGACAAGTGAAGCTCTTGGGGGAAGACATGGGGGGGTCAGTGTATAGTCACATTCGAAACTTACCATGTCACTGCATGAGTGAAAGGGTAGGAGGGGGGGGAGAGGAAACTAACATGGGACGTCGTTTGATTTCAAGGCAAACAGGAATTTTATCGTTGCGATGTGAATGTATTTAATAATTATAAGGAAGGGGCAAGGAATTGTTGCGTGTCGAACAGGCAAAACCAGCGTACAGTTCCTTACAGTTTGTAGTGCTATTTCCGCTTATTTTCCCCTTCGCTAATGCATCAGAATGCACATCTTTATTGCCTAATGCTGAAAATCGTATTGCAGAATCTCTGGCTGAGTTTGTTCTTTCGGTTTCTGTATTCTAAAACTGAATTCCATTGCTCGTATCCTAAGAAGTTCGTAGTATGGATAATCATTCCTCTCTCAAATGACGTGGTGTCATTATATCCAATGACAGTTATTTCTTCTCTTTGTTCTGATATTACCAGTTCAATGCTAAAAGCAACTTGCGTCGTGCCTGATCAGTTCAAATTGAATTATATATATATATATATATCNCCCACTTGACCAGACCCGCCGCGTTGGGAAACCAGCGACTAACCGCTTGAGCTATGGCGCAGCCTGTATATATATATAATGTATAGTGTTCTATATATTTAATTAATTAAGCACCGCGCCATGAAGACGTATTGGGGAGGAGAGATATAGTTCCACCATTCTTGACATCTTGCCTAGATGGAGGCGAGTGGTCAGCTTCACGGCCCGGCCACTTTACCCTCGAAGAAAGAGCCCCCGTTACCCATTGGGAAGGAGGCTCGGTGGGCCCCAGAGCCGGCCTGGACTCTGTTGANGGGAGAGACGACGGGCGGCCCCCGAGCCCGCCCTGACCCTTTTTAAAAAAAAAAAAAAAAAAAAAAATCTCCTGATCCTGTTGATAATCGACTCCGGCGGTCGAAAGCTTAGTTATACCGACTGAGCTACCGCAGTTCATGTTTGTATATGCATGCATGTGCCTATGTGTGTGGTGTGTGTACAATGATTTTTCAGCAGGTATGTATACCGGTGATCTCGTCATTAGTTAAAAAAAGTTGCACATCTGCTGGTGCATTGTATGTGTTGACTTGACCTTGAGACTAGAGCCAAGTGGAAGAGTACCGGAAAACATATTTTTAGGGTAAAAGTGTTATATATGTAGCTGCTAAGCTGCACGCTGGACGGCCGAAACGTCGCGCTTCCATTCCTGGAAGGCAAGAAATATTTCGCTTCTCGAAAGCCTTCAGACCGGCTCTGGGGGCCTACCCCGCATCTCATCCAATCTGTATCAGGGGCTGTATCCCCTAACGTAAAGTAGCAGGGTCGCGAAAGTGACCACTCACCTCGATCTAGTGGGGAAGGCAAAGTTGTTCCTGTGGTTAAATAATTAAGCGCTACGCCATGAAGGCGTATGGGGTAGTGGTTGCATAGATCCACATTTTCTTGACCTTGGCACTAGCTGGAGCGGAGTGGTCAGCTTCACGCCACGGCCGCTTTACCCCGGGAAAGAGCCCCCGGTGCCCACTGGATAGGAGGCGTGTGGACCCGAGCCGTTCTGGACGACGCGGAGAAGATAGAATTCTTGACTTTACCGTGACTCGAACTCCGGTTCCTCTTTTATCCAGCCCGTAGCCAGTCGCTATACTGACTGCGGTATCCCGGCTCCCCCCGGTTGGTGTTGGGTTCGTAGTTAAATATATGTACAGAGAGAGAGAGAGAGTGTGTGAGCGTGTGTGTGAGTGTGTGTGTGTGTGTGTGTGTGTGTGCAATTCTTCCAAGTTTGGTCCGGAGTTTCTGCACACTATCGACACCGATCCTTTATTTGCCGTCTTTCTTCATCGCTCTTTATCTGTACACGACATTTTTATATCTCCTGTTTGATATTTGATATCTTTGTTCCCTTTTTTCCTTCATTCACCGCCCCCCTCAGACATCAGGTTAAATCTGCACATAATACACCAACTTTATTCTCAGTAGCCTGTAAAGTGACATGCCTGTACTGTTATCCCAGTACGCCGTTCTCACGTCTGCTTTCATATCACTACGTTCCCATTCCAGCCTGTCTGTGGGAACTCAAGACTATCAAGCCCGAACGATATGATTCCGATCAATAGTGTTTCTCAGTTTTCCGAAGATGCAGCCATAACGTTCAATATCGTATCACAGCAAAACAGTACGGCGTTTCTTACAGTTTCGATGAATGGGTAGGGGATAGGCATAAAATGATATGTCCCACCTGCAAAGGCAATGAGAATCCATACCGAGACTATATTCTCTGTCGTTTACCTACATAGCAAGAATATCTAGTCGCTATTTCCTCTCATTTAAACACGTAATCCCATATTAAAACATCCTGAAATGAGGACAGATTAGCGATTTGTGGTTTCCATGATTTCCCCATGCGTATAACGCAGATCAGAGCTAGAATGTGTAACTGTAAAATACACAACTTTCACTGATCCGACAAGTTATGTGTGTTCGAAATATGGGTATTTTTGTAGTCGGGGTTGATGGCCAAGCCTAACCCTTTTGGCTCTTACGACACTAATATTGCCGTTCACACTTGGTTTCTTTCTACGTACGTATCTGCATGTTGTATGTGAGTTGGTAAGGGGTCAAGCACCCCACGCCGTAGTCTAGCTGCCCTAGCCACTATACACGTGGAGCCCTCTTCTCTAGCAGTACTGGCCCCCGCCCCTTTTATGCCTCAAGGCCGCGTTTCTGTGGCGGTACCAAGTTACGTCTATTTCTTGTCCTCCACAGCAGCGGTTGATACATCCCTCACTCCTTTTATACACCATAACTCCATGGATCTGAGCCCTACTTGTGAAGTCGCCAGTTGTGCAGTTACTCGAGAACTTCCAAACAATTTATGGAATTCGAAGGTTCATTACCGTGTTCACAAGAGCCCTAAACTGGATCCTATCCTGAGCCAGCTCAATCCAGTCCATACCACCCAATCCTATTTCTATAAGATCCATTTTAATATTATCAACCAACCCACATCTTCCTAGTGGTCTCTTTCCTTCAGGCTTTCCCACCAGTATTCTATATGCATTCCTCTTCTCTCCATTCGTACTACATGCCCTGCCCATCTCGTCCTCCTTGATTTGAACATTCTAATTATATTTGGCGAAGAGTACAAATTATGAAGTTCCTCCTTTTTTACGCTGCAGTGGAAATATTATCCACATTCGAAGTCTTGTCCCTCTTTGCTTGTGCTCATTTCTGCTCATATTTGGTTTCTACGTTCTTAGGAAAGAAGGCAACAGTGTTGTAAGGGATTTTCTTTTTCAGAAATATTGCTATGTTTTCGGTTCGTAGCAGGTCAAAATGTACATATTTTTAATATAATGTAGATGACAGCATTAGATGTAAAATGAATCAGTGTATAAACATAAAAACTCGGGTTGGAATTACTTTTGTATATTTTTAAGCATCAGACTACATTCNTGGGGGTTCGTAGGATTACTTTTTTTAATATTGGAGATTGGTTCAGTATTTGTTCCAAGATGAATCAATGTACAGGATAAAATTATACAATTCGCGTATTTTTATATGTCAGATTTTAACATTTGAAAATTCAACTTACGAAACAATGAAGCAACAATCGGACGACAATCGAAAATCCCTCTTCAACCCGCCACAATTTCCGTTTCGAATGTTGCGAACGTGAATCCTCCGGGTTTTAGCTACAACCAGCGGATACTTGCTGACATGGCGTCTTGAAGCGCTGTGAAATATTTCGATCCTTGTACAGGATTTCATCCCTCGTCGATGCCAAGGCTGCAAACATGCACAGGTAATAGTATGTAAAATAGAATTGTTCGAAAAATATATAATTTGTGAGTTTAAGAGAGCAAATGTTACGTGTCATTATATATTATTGATTATATACGAGATTTTATAGGATTGAAAATACGCAGTAGGGTCGACGACTCCTTTTTACCCCGAAAGAAAATCAATATTATTCGGAAAATTTCAGTTGCCAGCGCAAGCTTATTATTGCAATATTTTGAACGGATTGTTTACCTTGCAACATTGGAAGAGGGAGTGTTCTGAATTTACTGCAAATGTAAATCTGAACGAGTATGTCTTTCCCGTTATATCATCTAGGCCAGGGGGAAAAGGGTTGCGTAAAAGGTTGTCCGAAGGAGGGGAGGGTGGGGTAAGGAGCTTATGATAAGAGCAACATGGCGGAAGGGCTGGGTTAGCAGTGACGAGTGAGGGTTGACTTTTAAAGGGATTCACAATATTCGTCATCTCATCTAGGTATAATGTATTAATGGTATTGATAGTTGAAATGTTTTCACTGGAGTTGTGAAAGAGTTGACCATGATATGAATCATAGGCGTAATTGTTGCCACCTGTGTGATTCATAGGGTGTTTTCAGTTTGATAATAAGTAATAATAATCATGTGTTGCACACTGTATTAATTCTGAGTATTCACATATTTTGACAGGAGTTTGGATGAGGTTTGGAAAAGCCACAGTGCCACCTGCTAGCAGTCAACACCGGTAACCATGACGTCAACATTGTCATCACAGCGATTCTGCCTTCGTTGGAACAACCATCAGTCAAATTTATTATCTGTGTTCGATCAGTTACTCCATGATGAGTCTTTTGTGGATGTCACACTTGCAGTGGAAGGTCGTTTCCTCCGTGCCCACAAGATGGTTCTGTCAGCATGCAGCCCATATTTTCAAGCTCTGTTTGTGGGTCATCCTGACAAGCATCCAATTGTTATCCTGAAAGATGTACCATACTGCGACATGAGGAGTTTATTGGACTTTATGTATCGGGGAGAAGTAAGTGTGGATCAGGACAGGTTAACTGCATTCCTCAAAGTTGCCGAGTCTCTGAGGATAAAAGGACTGACAGAGGTAAATGAGGAAAAGTGTGACCTTCCATCAATAACGTCTTCCCTCCTGTCATCTGTTCCGCCACCTGTTGTCACTACACACACACCTCCTCCACCCCACCTTCATAGGATTCATCCCACATCATCCCCTCATAAACGTACCATCCCAATGCCTTCCGCCCCATCTGCCACCTCCAGTAATCCATTATTAGGTTCAGCGCTAACTGCACCTAAAAGGAAACGTGGGAGACCACGGAAACTGTCCGGGAGTAGTGGTGGAGCTCCTTCGGCACCTGGCCTAACAGAAGGCGCTACATCTTCCTCTGGCTCAAATAGTAGGCACCAGCCTGCAATAGATGGTAGTGGGGATGTTGAAAACTCACCAAGACTGTCATCTGCAGATTCGTTAGTGGCACAAGGATCACCTGAATTGTTAGAGGTGAAGATGGGCATGGAGTTCCAGCAGTCATCAGCTGCAAATTCAGGTGCATCCAGGAGACCATCAAATGGAGAAAATGGACCAGGTCCTGGACCAAATGCATCATCTGCAGAGGAAAGGAAAACACCAAACAAGGTGAGACATAGTGTCTACTGAAGGCACATGGATTAGGTGTGAACACCAGATACAGGCCGATAATTTACACACTTTTATAATATGAAGGAAAAGTGCTAGAGGAATTGGTATTTGAGAGGAGCTTTAGGAGGTGTTAAGAATCAAGATGCACAGTACTTTCATAAGAGAAATTGGATGAGGACTTAAATATTCTCCTTCAGAATCACTTGGACACATTGCATGGGAGGTCTGGGATTCAAGTTTACTGTGTTTCTGAAGTTTTCTGTCTTGTGACTGTAGTAGTGTAACAGTANAACATGCTCTCTACTGACATATTGGGTTTTTGGACTTTATCCATCGTCCTGGTTTTTAAGATAACTAATAAAAACACGACGTTTCGGAAACTGGATCTGTTTCTGTCCTCAGGCGAAGGAAAACACCTATTCTGTTGGGTCCGTTAGAAAGACCCAACAGAATAGGTGTTTTCCTTCGCTTGAGGACGGAAACAGATCCAGTTTCCGAAATGTCGTGTTTTTATTAGTTATCTTAAAAACCAGGATGATGGATGAAGTCCAGAAACCCAATATATCAGTGGTCCATTAGAAAGACTCAAGAGAATAGGTGTTATCCTTCGCCTGAGGACGGAAACAGATCCAGTTTCCGAAACGTTGTGTTTTTATTAGTTATCTTAAAAACCAGGACGATGGATAAAGTCCAAAAACCCAATATGTCAGTAGAGAGCATGTTTAGCATCTGCTGTAGTTATTTATTTGAAGTATGTTGGGCAAAAGTTTGTTGATTATGCTCATAGTCTGAATCTCATTGGCTTGACTAGATGGGAGGAGAATTAGAAACTTACACGTGAGCAACTGAATGATTTTCAGGAAGCTCTAAGATGGTTGCACTGTAGTGTTGTCTGTAACAGAGTGTGGCTCTGATTGTTTCTGGCTGTGTTACATGGTAGGCACAGTGCAGAAAAGTTAAATGACTGAACTAGGATATCCGGGAAAGGTTACTAAGAGGTGAAATTGCAGCTGTGATTCGTTTATGCAGGGGTTTAAGTAGAAAGTTGGTTCCTTTCCACTTTTCCTCAAAAAGACAAGCACTGGGACAGTGATAACAATGGGTGAATAACCTCTGTGTGTCATATAGAAACCATGGTAATTAAATGTTTCCAATAGATTATGATGGTATGCAGTTGCATATTTATTTGTTTTAACATAACTTAGTTGGTGTGATGTGTTTTTGTTGTTAATTTGATACTACGGATTTTGTATGTGAAATTTCAGAACCATTATAGTGAAGGCACTATGCTACAAGCCGGAAGGTCATGGGTTCAAGTCCTGATGAGGTCATGGATTTTTTCAGTTGACCTAATCCTTCCAGCCACACTATGGCCCTGGGGTTGACTCAGCCTCTAACAGAAATGAGTACCAGGAATTAATTAAATAATTTTCCTGGGGAGTAAAGCGCGGCAAGCACATAAGGCTGATGACCTTATCGCCATCTTTGAGCCGATTGTCTAGATAATGTGGGACCCTCAATGTCTCACAACCCTGTGGGCTTTCACGGCCTGTTACAGGGATAGCTTTGCTTTTGTTTTTTTTATAGTGCAGGAAAACAGTTTTCTTTATGGGTCTTCCCCACAAGTGTTGTGTTCTGAAGATTATAAAAATGATGGGTAGGGGGGCCAGAACCAAGAGATGTTAAAATATACATGCACAGAAGGCCAAGATAGTTCTGAAACTGGTGTGCAGATTTTGTTGCATATGCATGTCATATGTATGTGCACACACACAAGGAAGTCCTTTCAGAGCCTCCATTTGTAGGCAGCTCAGCTGAGACGGATAAAGGCTGTTCCCCTTGTCTTGTGGCGCACAGGTTCATACTTGGCATAGCCAGCAGGCCAGTAACATGTAAATATTATAATTTCTCACCAGTATCATCCTATTAAATCTTTGAACAACTTCTGTGAAGTAAAATTATATGTTATGTGCTTCCTGACTATCATCCAGACCCATTGCCACTGCTATTAAACATTCAGGCTATCAGATTATTTCTTGTGTCAAAATGCCATGCGACTGAAATGCGCGTTCATGTCTGATATCCATGTGAAACAAGAATTGGCATACAGGATGTTACAGTTTCAAATAAAAAAGAACATTCATACAGTCTAAATAAAACTGAACAAGAAAAAGAACTGAATTGAAAGGCTGAGTGCCAACTGAAGAGGAATTGGATGAAGTTGGTGCTAGGCTTGAAACATTCAAATGCACTTGATGTCTGATCTCTCAGAGGAGTTCACTGGGTTCTCATCAGGATCTAGTGGTTGCATATTCCACAAGGGTCTGGCAGTAAGTAAATGAGTAATAAAAAAAGTTTGATATTAAGAGATCCAGTCTCAAGAAACTAAACAAGGTAAAGAACAGTATCAGGTTAACCTCTCAGACAGGTTTTCAGTGTTTTGGTAAATTTAGATGATGATATGGACATCAGTAGAGCGGAAAGTATGTGAGATAAAATCAGAATTTCAACCAAAGAGACTCTGGGTTATTACAAATTGAAGCACTGTAAGCCATGGTTTTACATAGGATGTAGAAAACTGTTACATCAAAGGAAGCAAGCCAAATTGAAATGTTTATAGGATCCAAGGCAAGTAAATGGGGATAATTTCAATAATGTAAGATATGAAGCTAGTAAAATGAGAATACATTGCCTGTGCGTAGAGTTAAAGAAAGCGTATGATTCAGGTAGGTGTGAAGTATTGTGCAGTATTGTTACTGAGTTTGGGATGCACATGAAACTAGATAGGGCTCTTAAAGTGTGTGTAAAGGAAACCTATAGTAAAGCCTTTATAGGTAAATATTTGTTTGATACATTTTATGTTCAAAATTACCTAAAAGATTGCTTTTCAACTTTGCTTTATGATATGCCACAAGGAAGGTCCAAGAAAAGCAGTTTAGTCTGAAATTGAATGACACACATCAGCTTCTAGTTTGTGCTGATTATGTAAGTCTGTTAAGGGATAACATGCATATCATAAAGAAAAAAAAAAACAAATGCTTTAATTGATATTAGCAAGGGAGTTGGACTAGAAGTAAACACAGAGAAAATGAAGAAGTAAACTTTTTTTTTAAATTCTCTTAGTGGGGGTTGGAATCTAACTGGGTCCTCTTGGCACGGCGGCCACTGATTTTCCTATTGCAGCCTGCCCCGGGTGATTATGATGATGGAGAATTTGGTGGAATGAAGATTGGCAGGGGAAACCGGAGTACTTGGAGAAAATCCACCCCAGCGTCACTTTGTCCACCACAAATCCCACTTGACCAGACCCAGGATTGAACCTGGGCCACCGTGGTGGGAAGCCAGCAACTAACTGCTTGAGCTATGGCGTGGCCTAAGAAGTAAACTTGCTAATATGGCTTCTCACCAGAATGCACGGAAGAATCGTAACATAAAGATATTTAACAAAGTTGAAATATTTGATAATGACAGTAGCAAAAATTTGATTCAGGGATGAAATGAAGAGCAGATTGAATTCAGGTAATGCTACCATTCTGTTCAGAACCTTTCATCTTCACATCTGCTGACTAATAGCATAAAGATAACAATTAAAAGTCAAGTTTGCCTTGAGTTTTGTTGGGGTGTGAAGCTTGGTATTTGACATTAAGGGAAGAATTTAGACTGCGGCTGTTTGAGAACAGGGTACTGAGGAGAATATTTGGGCTGAAGAGGGATAAAATAACAGGAGCTTGGAGAAAATTGCATACCGAGAATCTTCAACAGCTACATCAGCTTCCTCCTCAAGGGTGCTCAACCTGAGCAGCTCCCTGATAGGTTTCCAGTCAGTTCAGGTTTTCACCATTCATTTTTTTTTTGGTGGAGTAAAACTGTTGCGAGTGGCTGGTGCTCCCACATTTCTGGCTCCTACTCTATGCATGAACTCTTTTTTTTTTTTTTTGCTTCATTGGGGGTCACCCTCTCCACAAGATCCATTTCCTCATTTTCCGAAACCCGCTGGAGATCCCGTTTGCTTGCTTCACAAATTCCAGCTTTAGGGTCTTCTTGAGGGTCTTGTAGGTTGGTCTCCTTCTTCCCAGGGGTAATGATGCCAGTAATGGTTGCCCTCTTCTTTCTGACGTATAGCAGCCACTTGCTGCCTTGATCCTTTGTTCCCCCTTTTCCTTCATGGTGCTTCTGTAAATTCTTTGTGAGTGGCCGTGCTGTCTGGGCTACTCGCCCAACCTTGGTCCTGTTGCAGTCCTTTCTGAGAACACCTCTTCTGAGTCATGCCACTCCTGCACAGCGGGTCTTCCTCCTGTTGGCCATGGTCAATCTCTTCCTGGATTCACAACTTGCCTGGATCCTTCCCTTTGGCTTCTGGCAGTGGCCAGATTCTGGTCCCCATGCCACTTCCTCATTCCTCTGACTGGCATCACTGCAGTCTCTTCCATGGGGGCTTCTTGATGCTCCGCTATGGACTGTATCGTTCTTGGATCAGGCTGAAACTTGTCTGTATGTGCCTCCATTGCTTTGTGGCAGGTGGTTGTCTTTTGGCAGGCTTTCTGGAGAGACTGTGTCTTGTGGTTAATGCACATCGTAATGTTTTCGACTTGCATCTCGTCCAACTCTGTATGGATTGTATTGTGGCTTTTATTTCTTTCCCATTGGTTTTTCCGTCTGCCTCCATTCTGGAGACTAGAAAACTTATCTGACTGTCCATCGTGTCATTCATTTTTACTTGCATTTCCTTTTTGCAATGTGTCCCCCTATTGGTGTCTATCTTCACCAGCATGTCTTGCATTGCTTTTGTATTGGCATCTGCCTTTTCTTGGCTAGCTTTCATGTTGGCATTCAGGAATTTCATTTTGTATGATTAACACTGTTAAATAAATCTTCATTCCAATCAATCACTGCGCTCCTATGCATACAACTTCTGACACCAGTTGTCACGTGTTTGGGTGACTACAACATGAGTTTGGATTGGTGAATGAGTTTATTGGATCTTCACTAGTTGTAAC